GGGTCACGGCAGAGTCAGCACAAAAGTGCTTTCTGATCGCATTATGACTGCCATCCTCTCCAACTAAGTACAGATAACAGAGAAAGGAGACGCCGTGCTGGTGGGGGGGGGCAGGTTCGCTGTAGTCACACAGATTGATAACATGCATAAAATATGCACACCGTTCCAGCTTTCTATCTATCTATATATCTATGCGGATACCGAGAATGTGCATATTCCATCAATGTATTCCATAAATTCCACAGCACAGCCCTACATGAGGAATACTGTGCTCTGTCATCATACTGCAGCTCTTTGGCATTTCTGTGTCCTGAATTATTGAAGGTCTCAGCTGCCCTTTCAGATCTCTCTGAGAGATTTCATTACCCCAACATCTCTGCCATTTCCTGCACGGACCTAAAACGATCGGGGGGTGGCTATGGGGTGATCGTTTAAAAACCATTTTTTTAAAAAACGTGGGCATTTAACGGAAGCACTTCTCTCAATGTAAAAAAAACCAAAAAGATAATAACCATGACAACGGAAAGGCAGTGCTTCTGATTTTGTGTATGCAGCCATAGACCAGCATGCATGCAACCTTTTCCTCCAATCAAGGGCCTCCAGAAAATCTCTCATGTAACCCACTCACTCCACCCTGCACAATGTGATACTTCCACTTCTGAACCACCAGGCCATGTTCATGGGGTTAAAAAAAAACCAAAAACTGAGAGCCGTTCACATTCCACTGTGCTAAACAGCGTCATTTCCATTGCCCCTTGGGTGCCATGGGACTTCTCCCCTTCTGATTACCCAGCCTTGTGACATTTTGATTTGGTCACTTTTTTTTTTTTTAACCAAAATCCCGCTCACCTGTGCAGTCCCGGTGTGGAAGCACACTGCGGTAATCGCAGCCATCGTAATTAAATGAAGCATACTGCAGTAATCACGACCAGACCGCCGTAATTAAATTGTCACAGGCTAACCTTGGGTTGGTTCCATGCAGGCCAGAGGGGAAAAAAGTCATGGATCTGCTAAAGTCATTCTGGATGATTTCCAACTGAGCTAAGCAGGTTCTTACTGGGATTCCAAAGCACGGAGAGGGACTCTGAGGACACGGCAATAAAAACAGGTGGGGCTGTTTCTTGCCCACCTAATTCTGTCTCTACGGTTCCCTGCTTTTCCAAATTCCCCCACACTTATAATTCCAAATTTTAATCAAACTAACAAAGAACAATGCTCGACTGAGGGGGAATAAAAAATTAGAGGTGATTTTACTGTAGTCTCCACTAAGAGAACTAGGAACAATTTCTTAAAGGGGACCTTGTTTTTAATTTCTCTCAGGAAATCAATTAAATCCAATAGCCTGCCCTTGAACAGCTCCGATTTAACACACTGCCCCAGCAGCAAGAGAGCCGCTGACAGACACGTGTGTGTCTGCGGGGCCGGGGACACATCACCTCGGAGCTTGTCCGCCCGTCCAGAGTCCAGGCCTTTTACTGACAGATGACACTCTAACAGACTTCTCGCCTCATTAGAGAGAGCTTAGCGAACGAGGGCAAAGGAAACATTAAGATTATGAGAGGCTCTGAGACAATGAAAAAAAGATTCATTGTTGGGATGAAAACAACCTTCACGGAAGAGGTGACAGCCACGCTGTCATCTCCTCTCTGAAAACGGTGACGTTGCATTTTTTTTTTTGAGTATGAATAAGGCTTTTGAAATTGTTTACCGTCACTAAAATGTGAGACAAAATTCGAAGGTGAACGTGGAAATAGGTTACTCACCGGAATACTCACTGGAAATGTAGACTAGATAAACACAGATAAATCAAATAAAAAGGGAAGAGCAAGTCGAGGGCTGACAAGTTCTGTTTAGTAACTACACTTGAGGGAAATTCCAGAGAATCTGTCCTGGTTTCAGTGCTACTGAACACCTCTTAAAAGGAGCCTAGGCCTGCCTGAGGAAAGAAGTGATGTCCAACAGAAAATTTTCCCTGGGTTTGGTTTTAGTAGCTTCCTTTTCATGGTAAAACTGGCAGACCTCCAGCATGAGGGACTGTGCTATGCAAGCCAGGCTTCAGAGAGAAGCCACGATAAATCTTCCCTCTCACTGGAACTCATCCTTTGGTAGACAGCATGAGAGAATGCACTCTCTCCTCTCTGTCTAAGTACAATGACCTGATGAATGAAAAAGTGGTTCCAGTATTTGAGGAACAATGGAAAAATAATATTTTCTGAAACCTAAAATACTGCTTTTCAGCCAGATAGTGCATAAAAACACCTCTTTTGTGGATGCTCTGGCGAAGGCAACAGGAACAATAAGTTATGGATGAAGGTAAACATGCATATTTATGTAACAGTAAAGAACAGAGCAACAGAGCAGTGAACAGCAACCTAATATAATGAGAGTGTGTGTGTGCGCGCATGTGTAAGTGACTGCATGTGTTCGTTTGTGTGTGTGAGAATGTGTGTGTGTGGCGTGCGTGAGTGAGCGAGTGAATGAGTGAGGGAAAGTGTGTGTGTATGAGAGAGAGGGAGACAGAGTGAGAGACTGTGTGTGTGTGTGTGAAAGAGAGAGAGAGAGAGAGAGAGAGAGAGAGAGAGAGAGAGAGAGAGAGAGAGAGAGAGACAGTGTGATAGTGAGAAGAGCTCTTAGGAAAACAAACACAGAGACATATTGTTCTTGGCAATATGCCTGTGTTGTGTTGAATGTAGAGGTGGTATTTCAGGGGAGAGAGAGGTACAGTAAAGAGCAGGGGTGATGATTCCAGAGAGATCAGGAAAGCAAGAGAGTGAAACGGAGAGAGAAGGCTGGAAAGGCTGTATTTCTGTGATGGATGGTGAACATGATTTGAGCCCTAGGTGTGACCGGCGTGCGGGCATTAATCCCAGGCAGCGCGAAGCCGCTCTAATGAAAACCAGCAGGGCAGGGGGTGCTGGCGTGGGACAGCCCCCGCTCCGCAAGCCCCACAATCCTCCTCCGCCCCTTCCCTCCGATAAATCTGCCCCCCTGAAGCCCCTCGCTGAGAGACCCCTGCTCATTCCGCATGGCCGCAGGCATGGCTGGGACATCAGAAATGAGATACACTCAGTACCCCGCGCTCTCCCCCAACAGGCTTTCACAGAGCTCTTTTTCATGTCACACTGCAAATCGCCGTGGCAATGTCAAGGGTGATATTCACCATCTCAGCACAGGAAGAACAACTACAGGAGCTAATGGAACTCCGGCCGTTCTGGGGAAGAAGATTTTTTACTACATATACGCACCTAAATCCTCCTGTTTGATCTGCCATTTGGACGTTTTCAGGGGGAAATAGGATTCATTTCAAAGGACTCATCTGGTTACATTAGATGTACGTGTGTGTGTGTGTGTGTGCATGTCCCTGTGGCTATGTGTCTGTGTCTATGTGTGTGTGTGTCTGTGTGTGTGTGTCTGTGCCCACATGTGTCTGTGGCTATGTGTGTGTATGTGCCCACATGTGTCTGTGTCTGTGTGTGTGTGTGTGTGTGTGTGTGTGTGTGTGTCTGTGGCTGTGAGTGTGTGTGTGTCTGCATATTTCTGTGGCTATGTGTCTGAGTGTGTGGGTAGGTCCACAGGTCCATGAAATAACAGCTCTTGGCGATGTTTGGGGTTTGATATATAGGTACTCTTTACCCCCTTACAGTTCACCCTTGGTGCAGAAACACAGATATAACACTGATCCATCTTCAGGCACTCTGTGGAGGAGGAGAGCTGGACTGGCTTTTCTGCCTGCAGCCACACACCAGTTACTGAATGGGGTGTCAAAAACAGAGCCCCTCTCACTGGCTGGAGCTACACTTTTTCTCTGGATATGCTTAAATCCAGCACTGCATTCAAAGCGGACTTTTTACTGAAAGCAACAGCTCTGTCTCACCATATTTGTAATCAATATTTCAGTTACAAAACAAGCCATTACCACTGATTACCAAGTTACATGTTTCAACAAAGCGCCGTCTCCGCGTCGAAGGTGCAGGCACTTAATCATGTTTTCTTTCTCATAAAGCGGGAAAGGAGAAAACACCAGGACACCCCCCAAGTTAGGAGCTGACAGGATGAATCAGCCCCCATCAATATTTCACACCCATATTCAACAGTAAGGCGCTGTTCTCTGGAAGATGAAGGAAAAAAAAAGGGACCGAACCTCAAAATGACTTATCACTTTCCATTCCTTTGTGACTTCCGACGCCTGAATCAGCAAGAAGCCACATCCTCTGTGATTCATCTCCGGGCTCTTAAATGTCTTTAATGCCCGAGTCTCTGTGAAGCAGGCATTGATGTATATGCGGTAGACAGGCACTATGAGGCCGGCTGCAGAGGGCTTTGTGTCTTCATTCAATTAGGAACGAGCACTCAGAGGGATCCTATGGAGACACACGGGAGAGCAGGGGAACTCTGCTCTACTTTCCTCACACGGCGGAAATCTCTTGCTCTCCCTCAAATCTCTGGTGCTGAATAATTGCGGAGCCGTGAACCGGTAACTGTGAAGGTGTATTAAGACGAGGTGGAACGGTTCAGAACCCGAGCGAGGGAGCAGTCGTCGTCTCACAGTGCTGGAAGGCACCGTACTGATATCAGTAGCGCTGAACAGAAGCGGGTGCAGAGACACTGTTTCCCCTCTCGGGTGAGGACACCACTTTTCTCTCTGTGTTTCAGAGACCGTCGTCGCACTCTTGGGTCAGAGAAACAGCCTCCTTCAATGCGTAGGAGGCCGCTGAGTAGAACAGAGGAAGCATGTTCTACTAAAGCAGGGTGGATGCAACCACTGAAGTTAGGATATTGATGCTCCTTTCCCACTAGCATTCAATACTCAGTTTGCCCTCTTTGTAACTGATACAAGAGCACATGGTGAATGGCTCTCCCTGAAACATTACATTACTGTCATTTAGCTGACGCCCTTATCCAGAGTAACTTACACGGGTTACAATTTTCACGTTATCCATTTATACAGCTGGATATTTACTAAGTCAATTTTGGGTGAGGTACCTTGCTCACGGGTACAGTGGCAGTGCCCCAACAGGGAATCGAACCGGCAGCCTTTCGATCACGAGCCCAACTTGCAACCACTACACCACACTGCTGATGCCAAAAAAAAATTCAATAACAAAATCTAGGACAAACAAACAAATGTTTCTCCCTGAAACTCTTTCTGGAACCCGGCCTCGACAAAGCGAATGAATATATTCTCCCTGCGACTTATTCCGGAGCACAGATTCCAGAATGCCAATGATTGTTTTTCCCCCGAAACTAATTCCGCCATGCGCCGCCTTGCGCACGCACACGCTGGTCCTTAATCTACATGATTTCTCTCGGTATTAAAGTACAGAAGGCAGGAACACCGGCGGCACTTCACGGTCCAGCAGCTATCTCGGTAAATTAGCTCACAGGGGCCCGCTCTCTTAAGGCCGGGCTCTGCGGTCTGCGCTTTTATAAGCCTAATGAATTTTTAACTTCGCTGCAACTCAAAACCTGGGCGGCAACGCAAAGCGTCTGTATACACCGGAGGACGGCTACTTGCCGACCCACGATCGGACGTGCGGGGTAAAAATAGAGGCAGGGCTCGCTTCTTCTCTGCCATCCCTGGACCCCCGACCCCCGACCCCGGTGGATTTCGGCGTACCTGACGTGCGCGGACACGGGCCTCGCGGGCCGGGGGGGCCTCTCGTGCTCGTCTCTGCGGGTTCATTAGCGAGCGACCGGCAGCCAGAGCTGGAGAGCCCTCAGTCAAGGCTAAAGCAAACAGAGCCTGCTTTTGGAAAATAAAAGCCAGGGAACGCCAATAATGAAGTATTGATCAAAACACCTGGGCTGTGTGAAGTTGGAACGCGTGCGCCTGCTCCTCTCAGTCTGGCACAGAGGAGCAGAGCAGAAATCAGTCATTCTGCTTATAAAGCCCTCTGGGGAGATGGCCATCTTTACCCCTGAAGCACGTGAATGCTTCTGTTTCTGCTCCGTCTTCGTTTGGTGAGTGGAGACGCTGTCCAAGCTGCTCGCGGCACAGAGAAGACAGTACAGAATAGGCACACATCAAGGACAGCGCAGTCAAGGACTGGATCAAGGATTTCATGATATAGACCTAATCTTCACACAGTGGATCTAAAGACAGACAGGCACACACTCTCTGAATGGAGGAATGTTCTAGTACATTAAAAATAAAATCCACTTCACTGAAGTGGAGCCCCTTCCCTGATGCGACAGGACTAGCCACGGAGCCTGTGCACCAGGCCGTGAGCCTGCTGAGCTGCGAGGCTTAACCCCAGGCAGACACCTCACTGGGGTCCCAGGAGGCCACAGAGGCCCTCTGGGTCTGTGCGACGAGGCGGCCTCGGAGTCCCCACGCCCCCGCCGAGCGAGAGCGCGGGTGACAGAGTTCAGGCGCAGGCGGGGGACACGACCGACGTCTGACACAACCTCCACGCTTCAGCTATTTAAAGATTTAAGGAGGTAAGGAGGACGGCGAGGCGGCGGTTTCACTGCCCCTTTAGTGCCGATTGGATATTCAGATTGAGAAGCGGCAGGGGGGGTTCTGGGGGGGAAAAAATCTAGCCCCGTAATTTAAATACATTTCCTCGGGGCGGTAATAAACCATCCCCTTTGATTCCCTGCCAAGCTACACTCGTACCGGTACTGCCCGCAGACAACACAAATTACTCAGTATTATGGATCACATTTAAACTAACAACTAATAAAAAACAGCATGAGGCATATAGAGCCGAGCTCTTTATGGACGTGCATAAAGAACGCAGCCCCGATGCTTTATACGAGACTCTTCCCTCCCCGTTTCCAATTTCGCAGCACGCTGACATCTAAAAAGTCCTTCTTTTTTCCCGCTTCTTCTTCAGAGATGTGAGGAGCCCGGCGACGGAAGCTTCCGGTCTCTCTGAAGCGCCGGCGCCCTTCCTCTCCCGTCTCTGCCCCTCATTTCCACACTGTCAGCCCGCATTACGCCTCGTTCTGTTCTCCGTGCGCTCGGAAACCTGAAACCCCGGGATTAAGACGCTCATAGTAATCTGGTGAGAAATGGGTTTTTAGCTTCATAATGGCGACGGCGGAGCGCGGCGGTAACCGCCGACCCGCGTTTCCGCGAACCGATCCTCAGCGTCCGCCTCGCTGAAACTCGCAGCGACCTATTTTAAACAAACACCACAGGTCTGGTTTCCGCTCAGAGAATGGATAACCTGATTAGTGCAGGCATACACAATAGACATGTTTAAGTTGATCCTTTTTCCTTCCTTCCTTTAATTACTAGGTATTGGTTTTACTCTTTCAGGCTCGAGAAGTTACACCATTATAACGATGGCCAGCCGAAATGTCAGCCCTGTATTGTAAATGCACAGAATGAGTAAGAGTAAGAAATCATTTGTATGTGTGTTTCATGCATATCTTTGACTTTTTTCCCCGCTTTGTTCCTGTTTTGTTCTTGCTGTGATTGATAAATGTGGCAGACCACGTGATCGATGCATTTCATGCAGCCAGAGAGAAGCTCTTTGAGAGAGAGCACAGCTTTTTTTATTGCTGTTCTAAGCACCTCTTTAAATGATTGTCAGTTGGATTGCCTTCAACTTGTCCTTACAGAAATGGCTGGGCGGGCTGTGTGAATCCAGTTGTGCGCAAGAGGACAAAAGAGATGAACAGGCCAGGCAAGGTTCCATCGTTCCCCGTGATTTACGACAATCACATTAGCAAAATGCCCTACGAATGGAGTAATGTCCACTGTGCTTTTAGATACAAGAGAGGAACAACCCAAACTGCTGGAGTGCTCCACTTATGAGCTGAGGTCATAAGGCAAACGCGATGTGTTGTTTTTTTCCCCCACAAACAAGTGCACAACGCACAACATCGACCCATTACACCAACGGACACAGCTGCATGAGTGAACTGCCTGGATACCTGACTCAAAACAGTGGCATGATTGATCATAAAGGCTCACTGTAACAAGTGAGGTGACGGACTTTCTTGCATAGAAGAACCACGGGCTGGTTTCACTGATGGAACTACATGGCTCCATTCTCACAGATGCTATTATCGTGTTGTGCGTACATCCCAGAATGGAAGGGTTCAAGTGTTGGTCCATAATCACTGAATGGATTTATATCCAAGCAGGGTGGAAATTAAGCAACGGCACAAAAGAGGCTACACCAAGAGGGCAAATGGCATAGCAGGGAGTCACATGTGGAAGTGCAGAAGACACCATTGACTACAATGCCACATTTTAGCTGTTATAGTGGTACTGTGCCATCAATGCCAATAGGAAGGAGATGACAAGTCCAGGCTTAACGCCCGGACAGATGCATAACCCATGCAGGTGATGGGTAAAGATAGGCTTCATGTAGCATTAGAACTGTATAATATTGATACAGCTAATCATGTTGGTAATTTGAAACAATTCATTCACCAGGACCCTCTGTGACCTGGACCCTTGACCATTGACTCTGCAACCTGAAAATCAACAGCATTTTGAAGATCTCAGAGGACAGCATTTGTATCAGGTTTCATGAAAACCAATGCCCTATGCAACAGCTCGATCAGCACCACAGCGCTCTGAATGCAAGATGCCATTGATCATTACAGTTAACGCGGGACTTTAAAATCCATTCCCACCGCTCACGTTGCCTCAAAACATTCCTCAATAATGTCGGCTAAGCTGCACTTCCAGATAGCTACGGAGGGCCACAGAGGGCTGTGCTTGTGAATGGAGCGTCTCCCTCGCGGGCTCCCAGCAGGGCGGCGCTGTCTCCGTCGTCCCTTCCCTCATCTGGAGCCCGTCGGGGGTCCGCATCTGTCTGAGCAGCCGTAACTCGACTGCAAAGAAAAACACTGCGGTGATCAATGGCTGCACCTCGTCTTCCCAGGTAAACAGAGAGCCACTGAGCAGATGCCGGGGCATGCATTATGCATAGCCCAGCTCCCATTAGCCAACCGCTCAGATAAATTAATAATGCACAGCCCCCGTTTTCTTGATTAATGGCCGCCGACTGGGTTTTTATCTTTGGCTCGGGCGGAGCTGGCTGAGCCTGTGGGCTCCACTGTGGACCCTGGAGAGCAGACTCTCCCTTCCAGGCAACGGCCTCGGACCCGCCAGGAGAGAGAAAGCCCGCATGCAGCGGCGAGCAGAGGGGAGGGCGATGATTAGGACGGGCGGTCTCGACGCTGCTCCGAGGCGGTCACGTGACCCGCGCGCACCGGCGACAGAAAGAAAGGCCTTGGCCGGCGCACCTTACTCCAGACTCCCAGGCTAAATTAAGGAGGTTAATCAAGTTTAGTCCATAAACCGCCAGTCCGTCTTCCGCCTCAGCGCCGCGCGGAGCGGGAAAGGGACCGAGCTGAAGCAGGGTCCCTTATTGCGAGGAGAGGCCGCGCGGCACTGATGAATCTTCCAGAAGATGCATGTTCTCCAATAACCTCTGGTGACTGTGCCGCTGCTTTCCCCCACAGACTGAGGTAAAGCACTTAAGTCATCCTTCCCATGATGCAGCAGCACAGAGAGGACTCTCTGAGCCGCAGTCCGGTTTTTATCATCTTTACATCACGTCTGGTAAGGAGGTCTAACTGCAAATGCTACAGGCGAAAGACAAGACAATGGAGTCGGCAAGGACTGCATTAAGTGCAACTTAATTGCTCTCATCTGTCTGAATACTGCTGAATCCCGCTAATAAAGTGGTTGCTTTCCTTCAAAATCAATTAGCCACCTTCAACTGAAGCTTTCATTTAAGTTTACATAAAAAAAACTGTAAATACAATCTTTCAAAGTTGCCAAAGTACAGCTAAATAAATAGCTGCTGTTTTTGCTTGTCATTTCCAGTGGAGACCGTTGTTTTCAACGTGCGATCTGAACCTTTCAAGAGGAAACAAGTCATTGCATCCTGTGTTAAACAGCAAATAATTACAATTAAAAGCTATTGGCTTTGGGCCAAACACTGTATGAAGGAGACTGATTAAGGTCACAAAACATGGACACTTATTGGTCTTATTAGGACTCATAACAACACTAATAAGTCCGTTTCAGGGAGCTGGTCAGCAATTAGAGGTCAGTCCCACCTGTGAAAGTCAACAAACACTTTGTTCAAAGCGCTAATCAAAT